CGCCGGGCGGGCCCCCCCCCCCCCCGCCGCATTGCCCCGAGACATGTGGCAGCGTGGGCTCCAGCGGCACCGCCAACCAGGCAGCAGTCCAGGCTGCTGAGGGGCCAGGAGGAGAGAGTGCGGATCCAGGGAGGCTACTGGCTGAGGCTCATTCTGGGGCATGGAGTTAAAGGCACCGAGGAGAGAAGTGGCATGGCTACAAAAGGAACCCAGGAATCCTGCTTCCCAGAATCCCTTTCTTTCCCATGCCCGCCCCACCAAGCAACAGCTCCCACAGTCCTCACACGGCTAAGACTGGAACCCCCAAATCTAAACAGACTCACTGCCCACCTACAGGAAAGGAAAGAAGTCAGAAGTTTAACACTCAGTTCTCTGCTCTAATCCAATGCCTTTGCCCTTCCCCATAACCAGCTACTCCTCCAGCACCCCATTTTAATCCAGTGCACCCACCCCTCCCTGAACCAGGCACCCCAGGCCCCCGTTCTAACCTAATGCTCCACCCCTCCCGCAGAGCTGGGGACATAACCTAGTGGGGCGGAGGGTAACACGGTGACTCCATGAGAAGAGCCAACCCCCCCATATCAGTCCTGCCCTGGGTCTCACCAGAGCCGCTGCCACTGCAGCCACACACTTTTCCCACCAGGCTCTAGGGTGCTTGCGTAGAGCAGCCACTAACAGTCCGGAATCATGGCTCTGAACATGCAATTTGACAGGCATATGCCCCCACTTCCTCCCCGATCCTCTTTGCAGGGTAAAATCCTGGACATTTTTAGCCATTGAAACAACCCAGCCAGACAGAGATTTAAGAAGTAAAAAAGGAGGACCCATCTGGGAAAAAACAGACTCTACCAAAGAAATTTGATGATCCAAAATTAGAGCTGAACTTTGATTAGTCTCCTACTTGGCTTAAGGATGATTTAGCTCTATACAGTTTCCTTCTGGACCAGTTCCAATCACTACCTTCCAAACACAACAGTCCTAATATTGATATGAATCATCACCTCCTAAGATGGGAGAGTGACTCTTATCTTCCAAGTTCAAATGCACAGAGTTTCACTTACGTCCACCTGGCCACCACTTAATGGAAGTCACAGTGGGGCTGTTGAGGATGAATTCTTGGGTAGCAGGGTCATATGTGGCAGTGGTTTCCAAACCTCGAAGATGAGTCCCTATGGGCAGTTAGCACATTTGACAATCACTGATAACATAGAAACAGTACTGAACAATGAAGTGCTTAACTCCAGGAGTGATGCAGCAAATGATATAATACAAAAGGCACAGAGGTCACACTACCATGTATGTTTACAGCATGGAGTTTTAGAAGTATGGACTAACTGCCTAAACACCAAGTCAGAAATATATCATTTGAAATAATGTTACAAGTGCCAGTATTTCAGATTGTTCCCAAAATTAGGGCCTTTAGTTTTCAAGCACCTCCTCTTTGATACTTTGCTTGTTTTACATCATGAAGCAGATGATCAAAAAATGATACACCATGTCATGTCTGCTTTCATGGACAGTGGAATCTCATTAGAACAAAGTTACCTTGACTTAACCAAACATGCTTTAAGAAGTACTACCATCATTATTCCCTCACCAATGTGTTTGTGTCCCACTCCTCTGATAGAACGGTTTCTCCCACAGAAGATAAATCCATGTGAGAACACAAGAGCACCTACATACTGAAAACTCTTCAGCTACCTACAATAAGCTTAACAGTTCCATTAACTGCTTCCATGCCCTATATGTCCCAAATGTTCACTTCACATTTCATGCAAAATGCAGGCTACTCTATCTACCAAATGGCATTCCCTGCACTGGTGGCCAGTCAATTTAACTCTAGATATAGATGACCAGCTGTGAGTTTGACCTAATGATCCAGAATGGCAGACCATTACAGAATCAGTGACACTACATGGGCATTTCCATAAGAGGGCTGATTCTACCCTGATGTGTCCATGCACCAATTTCCAAAGTATGGATTTCTAACTCTGGTGTCTCCATTGCTAACATAATACACCCTTACTGAATTGCCAGGCCACCCCAACCTTAATGAGCTTCAAACCATAAAGCTTCTCATTTCAAATGAGCGTGTTTTTACTAGCAAGTCTGGCTTCACCATCTCTTGATATCTCATGATAGAAGGGTAGATCCAAGCTCACTATTCAAAACATTTTCCTGCCCATAAGTTTCACAAACAAGTGTCTCCCATGTATAATGTGTTGTGAAGTTGTGCGACACATACATGTGGTCCTCACCAGTCTTGCAAAACATCAGCCTAGGGATAGGAAACTGGGTCACTGCCAGGGACGTGGGGTTTTTTTAAACAAATTGCAAAGGGAGAGGGGCAAACAACATTAGCTGAATATCTGCCACCTCTCCCCAAGCCTGTAAGCAGCAAAAAGACAATTGTGAAAACGGGCAATTAACTCTGTATGAGAACCAGGTAGACAAAGGAGAAAAAACATTCAATTTTTGATGCTGAAAAGAGCATGCCGCAATAGGATTAAAAAAAGGGAACTTAAGAGAAATGTCGATGCAGAAACTGGGCTTTCCCAGGTGCTCTCCAAACTAGGAATGTTAAAAGGCATCGGTAAATGTGTAACTCCTGAACATTTCTCAGAGGCTGCAGTGGGGAAAGAGGGGAGGCGGCTTTTAAGCCTGCTCTCCCACCTGCCCAAGAAAGCAGACTAT